GATAGAGCAAAAACGAGTCGCATCTGGGTTGCCCCAACCAACGAATGCATGCATATCTCTATAGATACATGCATACACACACATATATATATATATATGTATGGGAACATTATTTTCAGCGCGGTGAAATAAGCACATGCTGTGTGGCTGGCTTGCATCGCCGGTTTCAAACTTGGATGATCACCAGGGCGTGCCACAAGGACCTCACCGAAAGCCCGAAACACAAACCGATACACCCATACCCCCGTCAGGCTGTCATGGAAGCTCCCTGGAGCCTTCGAATCGCCGGCTTCCCTTCTCCAGGGTAACCTGTCTCTCCACTACAGCGCTCAGGGCTTCAGCGTGCCATGGGACCTGCCCTTACTGAATCCCAAGAGATGTGACGGATATATGCCTCATGTTGCAATGGCTGTGATCGAGCCAGGGCGGGGTGTTGACCTCTGAAGAGTCAGGAGTATGTCATCGGCTGAAGCTGGCTTTATGCATTCTTCTTGCTGCAAGGTGTGAATTTGAACTTATGGGGCTGTGGATGGCTCTCCCTTGCACTGAGTGAGCCACAAACCACTAGACCTCCTCCCGTGTTCCCCCCTTGCCCGCACCCCGTGTTGCATGTCCTTATATTTGATTGAAAACACCGCCGCTCCATTTGGGAGCAGCTCAGTCTGTGTGCAACGGCAAGCGCTAACGCAAATGTCGCCCCCTTTTTCCTTGCAGGACATGCATGCGTGGCGCCACCGGTCACAAACTGCCAGTCTCCCACGCCTTTCATTGAGGCACGTGTCTTAGCCAGAGAGCCAGTGCTCTCATGGGCCCAGCTGAACCTAGCTGGACTTGCCAACCGAAAAAGAACGTGTGCACATGCTAAAACACCACCAGAATCAGAAACGAGAAGGCACAAAGCGAAGCGAAACAACCAAAGCACTCATCCTTGGAGTGATCCCATCAAGTGTTTCTCGCGGTAAGGGCACAAACACACAGCCGATGCGGAATTCCTTTTACCTGCGCACCTTCTTCATTGGACTCATGCAAGCAAGTGCGACAGCATGAGTGACAGCAATATATGCTTCAGTCTCGTTGCAAGTGGGCAATCAACTGGAAAGAAGAACAAACCATGGCAAAGCATTTACTGCATGCTAACACCTGTTCCACCAAGGAAGGTGCAAGTGCAATGTTCCACCAAAACGGAGCACATTGTGGACAAAACTACCTGCACTGTGGGATTCCTCATGTGACTTTTGTTTGCAAAGGCAGCCTAGGGAAAGGAAGGGAATCCAGTTTTGGGTTGACCATTCGTTGGGAACCGGGTTAAGGCGTCTGAACTGGGGGCTTTGCCAAATTTCACTTGTTTCTCACAGGCCTCGGCCGTGTCCTAACGTTCCCTCTTGTGGGGAGGGAAGCCCAGCAAAGCCTTCACGCTCACACCATGGGTATAGGCCTTAGGCGAAGCCGGCATGAGGCGCTACCTGAAACACAGGAAACATCGGCAAACTTACCATTTGCTCGAAAAAACCAGAGGCAAACACACAACCGTTCGGGCGGCCAAGGCAATGGGCGGATGTTTAACGGCAAAGTCCAAAACCTACGAAAAAGAACAGGATCCCCAAGTAAAGCACCTCCCAATCTGAGCTAGTTTTACCCCCTTGCTTTCCGAGCTCGCCATAGGCAGAAACATGAGCAGCATTGCACTGGCCAAGGCGTGCTTTGCCATCGACCACCGTGTTGTTTTTGTTTTGCATAAACCGCACTGGCTTCTGAAAATTGTGTACAAGGCTCCTTGCGTCTCCTGTTTCAGGGCTGACCTGCATCCCCTTGTGCAAGCCACTTCCATTGGCCATGGGCCAAAAAGGACCAAATTAACTTCACAGGCTTCACAAATTAAAGCAACCCATGAGGTTTGCATTTTGACTTCGCCGATCAGCTGAGGCGCGATGAATGGATCAGCTGAAACCCTTGTGGATAAGAAAGGCAGGTGTTGAGCTGAAAACGGCACCCGGCCAGAAAATGAGTTGCACAGCACCTGCCTGTCAAGTAGGATTGATTGTCTCTAAAGGTTTGAACCACAGATTCAACCGCATCTACATGCAACGCTTTAAATCAAAACCACTAAAACACACAAATAAAGGCTGGCGGCCGATAGCACATCCCTTCCATTTGCTTAAGCCCGCCGGAAAACATATATTATATAACATATTACCAGTGGTAGAGTCCGTTTAAAACCAACAGGGGAACTAACATATATATATATATATATCAAACAAATTCTGTTCAGCAAACCCAGCCCCCCAAAAAAAAGCAGAAAAAAAACACACCGCCCAGCGGCTTGGGCTCATTCGCAGGCTTCGCCGGCTCCGGCTCCGAGCCTCGATCGGCGCAGAGGGCGTGCGCCATGGTCCTTGGCATTGCCGGGCCGGGTGTTACGTCTGAACCATGTAGCCCCCTGGAAAGCCCCCGAAGAAAAAAAACAAAAACAAAACGTCACAGATGGGTTTCCAGGCCGGAAATGAGTCATCAGAACCCGGTACAAATTTGGTCCACGCAGAACTATGTAAAGAATTAAGAAGGCGGATATCCGCAGCTATTCGTCCCTTCCTAACCTTCATCTACCCGGGTTTTGAGTGTGACTCAAATGACTCCAAAAGGCTTCTTAACAACGCAAGCTTTTTGGGCACTATGGGCCAAGAACGCCAACTCAGTGAGGCACATGATAAAATGAGAAGCCCGAATCAAACAAACTTAGCAAGTAACTTGTGGATGAACAAGGACTCCCAAACCTGAAGGTTTCTGTCTTACATGGGCCGCCCCCATTTTATTCACTGCGGATTTGTTAACTCAGCATTTCCACTAAAACGCGTTCCCTCATGGCAATGACTAAACACAAGTTGTCCAGCTTTCAAAATACCCCACCCCCACCACCCCCCACCAAAAAGGAGTTTCCTCGACACGTGCGGTGTTGTTTGCTTTCATGTTGATCTCCAGGGATTGGACAAAAAAAACAAAAGGTGTTTATTCCACCAGGACAAGTGAGTGAGGAACATGGTTCAGACACTGGAAATTCAATTTGAAAACGTTGAGGTCCAAGTCTCATGGTGCCCAGGATGCCCACTATCACCAGCAGTGCCTGCCCGAAGACCAGAAAGATCAGCGACAGCGAGCTGGCGTACCTCGCCAAACCGCACCCAGGCGCCCCTTGCAAACCGTGGGTGTTGACCTCCGGGCGATTCCGGAAATCGGACATGGAAGGCCAGCACCCGGCAGATTGATGGGCTTGCCTCTAGTTGCGCCTCCTGAAGGTGAACCCAAATGACCTGGGAGGGGGCACTGCAGGCGTCTGTGGGGATGTCCCTTCTCGAAGTTCATGGTGTTGGCGGCCAGCAAAAGAGGGAGCTTGAGCTTGCTTCTATTTGCTCTACCCAGGGGCACCCAGTCAGAATTCCAGGTTGAGCCTTTGGAGTAGTACAAAGCAGCTTTGGTTCGATTCATGCGCGACAGCCAGGCAAAGGGTTGACAGCTTTACAGCAACAAAAAGCATCCCTTTCTGAACAAATCCGAAGGCCCCGGTGCCTTTAGGACTTTAGGAGTGCCCGTGCCGTGACCGGCTTTTCGATTGCAGTTCAAGCTTTCAACTAACGAACAGGAGCACGGTCAATTGTTGGCTCAGCCGTTATTGCCTTGGGACAAGTAAGCAGAGCTGCGCATCAGCCCGCTATGCGCAGCCTATGGCCATTTGGGGCAACTTGTAACAAGCCCAAGGCAAGAGATGGATCGAGGGGCATCAGGGCCAAGCGCTGAGAGGTTGTCACCTCCACCCCCAGGATCAAAGGCTTCCAGTGGGGGTCCAGGCCGCCCTGAGCTATGTACACGGCCTTAGCGACGCGAGGGCTTTGAGGGGATCGAGATCACTCGCGATTGGATGAGAACTCGAGGATGTTTCAGGGAAACATGTTATCGAATTGAGCCCATCCCACAAAAGAGGGCAAAGGTATCCATGCCCTTTTGGCAGTGCCAAAAGTGGCTATGTGCAACACATATGTGCTGGGATCGTATTTCTGGTAGCAACACGCAGTGCGACGGGGTGCTTGTGTGGCTTGTAAGGGTATGACTAACAAAAATAAGTACTGAGAAATTGAAGCATTGCTTAATTACTCTTTCCTCGGGGATGTGAATGGGGCATGTTCAAAGTGCACAGTTCAGCTTCCACACGAGTGGAGAGAAGCCTGGGACTGCTGCGATCGAGTGCCTCCAAAGGGCCCATATTCAGGCTGCTGTTGGATGAGTTTAGGGTTGGCTTTGCGTCTGGCTTGGAGCTCACTTGTGCTGGGTCTGCGGCTGCTTCTGTGATGTTATCAGATTTTTGGGCTAGTTTTGGGGGGTTTGCGGCAACGCCCGAATCAGCTCCAAGCCAGCCGCAGACCCAACCAAAGTCAAACCTTAACCCTGAATATCTGCCCTTTGCCGAGCCGAACAGTAACTGAACCCCCACCGACCCCAAGACCCGACCTTATCATTCCCTTAGCAAGATCGAAGCCAGCCTAAAGCCCGCCACAATTAAACCAGGTCCAAGCAAGTCCCAACTGAGCTGGGTGATGCTGGTGATGCGGCCAACCAACAAACCAACCAACCAAGGTTAGCCTGTAAACGGGTAACCAACAAAACTGCAAAACCTTGGTCCTGGCCGAACATTACTATCGGGCTCCATGAAATCCATCATGACGTATTTATCGCCATTAATTCATGAACCTGAGTTCGGAGTCAAGAAACGAGCCTCCATCATGGGGCCTGAGATCGCGTTGCCCCAGAACAGTGTGTTCGCCATAGTGCAAATACGTGCAACACGTCGGTCACATGCAGTTTGACATCCGATTTTCCCTCCCAAATGGCGACCCGCACCACCTTCGGAATTCTTGAAAACAACCACAACGAAGGAGACCCTCAACAAAAATAAAACTCCACACAGGGTACACCCTCGAAAAGACACCCATCACCCATCTGTGATCCGAGCC